TGGGGAAGACAGAGGATACCTCTCTTCACTCCTCTCCACACAAAATTATTTAATGCCCATTAATTTTCTGTTCTGGCCAAGAAGTTAATCCTCTGACACTCTGAAGTAGGTAGACAAATTCCAGTTTCAGTTGTAGAAAAGCATTTAAGACCAGTAATCAGAAACTAATCTCTCCTATACAAACGGTGCATGGTCTAACAAGACCTTGACCACCTCTACCCCGTCCACACGCACACAGCTATCTAGAGGGATTCGTTCTGGACAGGTGGATTAACTAGACATCTACACATACACCCCAAAACTATACAATTTTTTTTTGTTGTATGAAGGATTGGCAAGTACAGTCACAAATACTGCAATCTGCACTTAAAATATCAAGACATACCTACAATAACAACGCCACCCAAAAATCATCAGTGGAATCTGTTACATTCTTTTTTAATTTTAGAAGGTGTACTCTTAAAAAGAGGGTAACTACTTTTGCCACATATCACATCGAAATTTTAGCACCTCACAGTAAAGTTTTATGTGCACAAGTAATTTATCATTAGATCTCAGACTGGACCAAATTTCTAATTGTCTACCACACCACCCAATTTCATGCTACACAAGTAAAAACAATACCAACTTACTGTGTAGGGGGCATTTCAAGTTCAGCAGCTGTATTAAATACAATAGTAACGAGCATTCAAAGTTTCTAGCAGACAACAGGAGCAGAAGCAATCTTTGGTTTATTTTTACAGTAAAAAAAAAATTCTGATCTCTTCGGTTCCATGCAAGTTAACTGCATGGGGGTTAGCCACCCCCACCTGAAATGTGTACTACAAACAATTCTTTCTGCTTATGATTTATTCTACTCTATTACTAAAGACAGCATGAACAAATGTTCATAGTTGATAACTCTCCATGATGATCTTCTCCCCATTCCTCAAGCCATTGCTGACACTTTCCTTAACTTTTTTATTTCTCTTTTTATTCTACAAATGAAACTCTTATATTCCTATTTTCCCTGATGTTATCCTACTAAAAACTAAAATTACAATCTATGATTACAGTACAAAGATAGACCAGAAAAGGCTATTCAACATCATCATTTAGAATGATTTAATTGCTAGATTCACATCCTTTCCTGAATCCAAATCCATTCTAATTGCATGATTAGAGGTATTAAGGAAAGGGCATGCAGACTTTCCACCAAACAGCTAACAGCAGCAAGAGACAGAACAGGCACTGCAGGTCATTGGTTTATTTTGAGATACCAATTCTTATTTTACTGTATCTAAGCAGTTATTCCACTGAACCAGGATATAAAGGAAAATTATCAAGAAAACACAGCTACTCTGAGAAGGATCTTATCTGGAATGAAAGACAGTGGGATATTATAGAGGGAACACTAGAACTGAAGGAATTAAGTGTGGTTTGTGAAGCAGCAAGTGCGAAGAACAGCCCACTCAGCTCACATGAAGTTTGAGGCTAATACACTGGAGAAACTGTTCATCTGTACGAAACATGACCCCTGTAAAGCTGCCAAAATCAGTGAGAGCATACAAGTGCTAATCACGCAAGCTAAAATGGCTCAAGCCGCTTTGACTTACACGCACGCCTAAACATAGATGGCTGCATATCCTAAATTGTAAGTTAACAAAAAGAATGCAGCTGTTTTCTTTACCTGTACTTCTGTATGCAATCAGTACACCTCCTCATCATCCACAAGCAAGTACACTCCTGTACTTGGAAATCTGAATACAGCTGACATGCAAGATGACTCCTTCCATACCTCACCCCCTCAAGCAGGGCTTTGGAGATGCAGTGTGAGCATTTTAAAACAGAAGGAATTCAGTAATCAATTCACTGGTATGTTAAAAAGTATACTGTATAAAAACATCACCTGGTCATACTCATCGAGGGGAGTTACTGGCGACTGGAACAAAAAGGCGGAAGAAAGAAAGAAGGAAAGAAAGAAAGAAAGGTTGTCTAACACAGTGTGGAGTAACACTGCACAGTCTAACACTCTCCAGAGTCATCAGTACCTAAATACACAGTTTGGCTTTTTGATTTAGGAAAAACCACACACATTTGGAGGTTGACTTCAAATATTTTGTCAAAATACATAGCTATTACCTTAAATATATATTGCCATACAAGCTCTAAACAAAAAGCATACCTTAGAACTGGGGCATCGGAAGAGGTAGAGGAAAACAGTGTTTCTTGCTTTAATGAGTACCACACTATCACATCTGGAACGCTAGTTATTTTACCGACAAGAATTATTTACTAAACAATACTCTCTTACTTTAATGATGTATGGAAGTGTTTTCCCTATCATGACATTCACGCCCCACAGAAAGGTAGAGTTCACAGAAAATATTGTTTTCTAAAAGCAAAAACCACTTTTTTTCAAAAAAAAAAAAAAGGCAGCAGCTGAATCAGAACAAAAGATGTCCACAGGAAATATTATCCACAAAGTTGTCTGCTAATCCGAGGCAAACAGAAATGAAGGGACAAAAACCCGACCATGTACCGGTTTCCTTTTCCTGACGCCCTGACAACAGTCCCTCGTTCAATTTGTCGTGTGCCCTTTCCAAGCCGTAAGGGATGGCATTCCTCCTCCACTTCGCACCAGGGCGGACCGTATGCGTCGAAGGGGCAGGGAGCAAAGAGGACGGAGGCAGCAGATATAATCGTTATTTAACGCGCTAAAGGGAAACCCGCTAGCCGCAGCCGCACAACCCGCCCCTTGCATTCCACGTCCGAGATCCCCCGGAGGACACGGGTGGCCGGGACACGGCTCCCTCCGGGAGCGATGGCTGTCTTGTGACGGCGAGGGCTGTGCTATCGCCGAGCCAGCGCGCACGAAGCGGGGCGCTCCCCCCGCCGCATTGCCCCGCTTTCCTCCCCACCCGCAAAACCGTAGCTGCGAAAACGGCACCCGCGAAACCCACCCCGATGAGGTACCAATAAAAATTGAAAGAATAATAGTAAAAAAAGGCCAGCCCGAGGGAGGCAAACAGCGGCGCCCGCCCC